TACTTAAATTCCCTTTATTATGGGTTTATCATAAGTTTGTGGTCACACCCATAAAGACATGCAAAAGTGACTCTGTCATTTTAAATCCAATTTTCGTTCTCCTTAAGACATTTGAAAGGTATTGAATGAAACTTACTTCTTACATAAATGGCTAAATTTATTTGTCTAAAAGTTCACCTAAAGTTACAACATTTTTCAAAACTCAACACTGAACTATCATGACTGATTTTCTCAGAATTGGGTCGGCCAAATTTTGAAATGAAAGTGGTGGTAGAACCCTCATTCAATATCTAACGAACTCCAGTTGAGAAAATTTGGTGGAAAGATTTAGAAAATATTTGAATCATTAAAATATGTATTCAAGTCATCAATTAAAAGTTAGGTTACCCCATTGTACGATGTATGAATCGCTCAAATGTTTCGTCCAATTTTCAATATGAGGTAAGTGGCTGCACAGATGTTTTAAATTTTAAAAGTAAAATTTAACCTTAATTTACAACATTGAAACACCAAACCCAAGTCAGCAGAAGTTCCGCATTGAACGATAAAACTCACTTCCGAGTTCCATAAAGTTCAATTAAAGTTCCGACAGAACTTTCAATTTCCATAAAGTTCAAATAAAGTTCCAACAGTACTGTACAGTACTACACAACACACCTTCCTGGCTACTTTACAAGCTATAGAAGGCACACGAGGAACTTCAGGCTCTTGAAGTAAAAAAAAAAGTTCCAAAAAGCATCCCTAAGCACTTCCTAGCAACTTCAGGCAAAGCTGAAAAAATGGCCACAGCAAAGTTCCGAACAAGTTCCCAGCGGAACTTCTTAGCAACTTTAATGTACCTTAAAAGTTTCCTGTGGAACTTCTTAGCAACTTGAAAGTTTCTAAAGGGTCCGTCATAGCCTACATGAAGTAATCCGCACAAATCTATTTCAATGTAATTTTTATGAAATGATCAGTAGCTCAAAAAAAAATCATAATTCTTATATTTATGCAGTGCATCAATATCCCAAGTAACCAGAAGTTCCGCATTGAACGATAAAACTGACGACAGAACTTTCAAGTTCCATAAAGTTCAATTAAAGTTCCGACAATACTGTACAGTACAGTACTACACAACACAACTCTCTGGCTACTTTAGAAGCTATAGAAGGCATACGAGGAACTTCAGGCTCTTGAAGTAAAAAAAAAGTTCCAAAAAGCATCCCTACGCACTTCATAGGAACTTCAGGCAAAGCTGAAAACATTACCACCACAAATTTCCGAACTAGTTCCCAGCGGAACTTTTTAGCAACTTTAAAGTATCTTAAAAGTTTCCTGTGGAACTTCTTAGCAACTTTAAAGTTTCTGAAAAGGTCCGTCATAGCCCACATGAAGTAATACGCACAAATCTATTTAGGAACAAAAATAAATGTACGTAAACGTAAGGAGAACTTCGAGATTTGGGCTTAATTACGTTTGTAAACAAACACGTAAATCGCCGATTTCTCGCGAAAAAAGCAAATTATACCACATGCTAGATAAATTATTCCTCTACCTGTTTGTGTTGTTAATTTTCTAGGCTGAGCTTTCATTCGCAGGAAATCGTCAATTGAAGCGATTGTTTACAAAAGCAATTACGCCCAAATCACAAATCACTCCGAATATCTTAGATGGCGGTTCGTGCTGAGGCTCTCACGCAGAAAGACTGGGTTTAATTCTTCAAACAGCTCTAATATTACTACTACTACTAATGCTGATAAATCAATACACTTCATATCTGCCTTTAGGAATAACTTTCACAAAGACCTGACTTTAGAATTAACTTTCAAAAAAATAGCGATCTAAATATCAAGTTGGTGTAGACTACAAAACCCTTTTTAATATATTTTCAAAAGTTCCATTCAAGTTCCGCCAGAAGCTGCTTAGAATGCTCTTCAATTATGATACTGGAACTTTCAAGTTCTTATAACGACTTAAAAATGAGGCTGCATAGATTTCTAAAGACCACCTTCAACCAAGCTGCTTAAGCCAGAAATAGCCTTTTATCAGAACTTTTGGTTACTTGGGATGTATTAGAGTCATCGATCAAAAGTTTGAGGTCATCTTTGCGATTTTTTGTCCAATTTTAGATATGTGGTAAGTACCTTAACATATTTTTAAAATTTTAAAACTAAACTTTCACCTTAATTTACAACATTGAAACACCATACTATGGGGTGACCCTAATCTTTTAATGAGCGACTTGAATAAATATTCTTATAAATTAAATATTAAAAAAAATTGCATAAAAGTAGCCCTTTGGGAATAGAAGGGTTCTACTACTACTTTCATTTCAAAATTTTCTCAACCAAAAAACAATAAAATCAGTCATGATTCTTCAGAGTGAATTTAGAAAAAAAAGTTGCAACTTTGGGTTAACTTTTAGTTTTGTATACTTTATTTAAAAATTATACTAAGCAATTTACCTACGAAGAAAGTTCCACTCAATACCTTTAAAATGATTTGGCCGAACAAAAATGACAGATATATGAACATAACACATATGCATGTTTTTTGGGGGTGACCCCAAACTTCACTTTTGTACGAAAACGTCATTTTTTGTAATCGATCGGACATCGATTGCCATCCATTGACGGCAACTGAATGTGCAGGAAGGCAGCTTCCACACCTGCGTAGGATATCGCACCCATTCACAACACCCATCCCTAGTAGCACGCTGGTCACAAATCAGTTGTAGAAACTTATATACGACTTATTTAAGTCATAAACAAGTTGCTGTAACTTATTGTGATGAAAGTGTGCTACTCGGGATGGGCCGGGACCAACGGCTTTACTTCCCTTCCGAAGAAAGACGTGACCAGAGATTTTGATGCCTCAGAAAAATCCCTCCGACCTCGGCTGGGATTGCACCCAGACCCATTGGGGTGAGAAAGCAGTCACGCTTACCACTACACCACTGGCGCCGGCGCATAACAATCATGTAGATAGGAAATCTTCAGCACCAAGGACTGTTATGCGAAAAGCAGTAGTACTTTAATAATTTGATTGATAATATTCACAGATTTCTCTGGATTTTCCACAATAGGACTTGGATCTTATTTTGGGATCGCAGTAAGCCGCGCTTGAAATCTGAAGTGTTTTTGTTTTTTTTTTCTGCGTGTTTTTCTTCCGCGAATTTGGAATTTTTGGCATTCAACATCATTATTGTTCGTGCTGTAATTGAGTTTTAAATGTTAATGAGTGAGTTAACGAGTTCTGATGCTCACTTTCGGTGTGTAGTTCTATCGAGAGTTTCGTCACCGTGAACAAGTTTGAGCCCGGTTCGGTTGGCGAATTAGCCCGGGAAAGTGCTGATAATTTGTCCGTCGCGAGTTTTGGTGGTGATGCTTGGCTGCTGGTCTCTCGCCGGTGTCGGAGATTGCCTGAAGGATGCCTCGCTGGATATGCCCAAGACTGGACGGGCGGTAGCTGGTGGCCGCAAACGGGTCCTGGGGAAAGCACTAGACGCGAACTTCCTCCCAGATGACCATGGCAATGCAAGAAAATTTGTTTTCGATAAAGGAAGTATTACGACAAAGGTAATTGCTATTAGATATTTTTGCCCACAATGACAGATAGCGGACATGAAGATCTCGTGGAGGTGCCGGGCAAGTGTTATATCCTAGACAAACGTTTGATTAAGTTGAGTTTCGCGTCTGTTTTGACTCAATTTTACGTCAACATTGACGTTCGTATATGTCAGTCTCAGAGCACCTTCATGATTTTTTCTATGTATCTAATACAATCCCAAACAGTTAAGCCGTTTAAACAAAAAGTATCAATATATAACTTCAAGGCAAGAATACCAATTACACTAATCAAGGCGAACCGCTTGAGCATAGTTCTACAGTGAATTGAAAATAAAAACTCTTATCTATGCCAATCGATTCATAACATAGAACATTCAATAGGCCGACCTACGTGACATGCGGCACATGTTATCCTGCACCGGCAGTGATTCACACATTCGCGCACGTCATTCGCTGTCGTTTAGTGAGTGATTTATAACCAAATTTGCAAACTATAACTTTTCACTGCTCACCCCAAAACAATAGCCCACGTCCGATAATTGTCAGCAATATAAGCGGCGCTCCCTCGCCGCAATCTATCGCCACTTTCCTCCAAAAATTATTCACCAAAGGCCATTGATACCGCCTTTACGTGGCCCATTGGATCACACACGTCATACGAAGCACGTACCGCGATGTGGCCGCAGACATCAGGTACCGGAAAGAGCCACACTTATAAGCTTACGTACGAACTGGCTCGCTCCGGTAGCTATACTACAGCTATTGATATGTTCGATTGAATGTGGTTTAATGGGTAAAATTTCCATATCGATCCCATTGTTTTTTGGAAACATAATCGTTATTGGGGACCGTTGATGGACGTCATTTGGATTATTGCCCGCGATGACGTTAGAGTGACATGCAAGCAGCATCGATCCTGTTTCCTCGTCGTAACCCCATGCAGGCCACTTTTGTAGGTCAACGAGGCCTTATAAGTTATAAATCTTCATGTTCTTCACAACCTTCAAGCCATTTACTTCAATCCTGTTCGTCAAGTTTCCGCAGAACCTCCGTGGAAGGGCGTGCCGTGTGCACTTTTGTGCCTGATGATTACACGGCAAGTATTAACCCGACCAGTTCCCGCGGCAAGTCAGAATATTTCTCTCCGGCAGGGCGCCCGACGAAGAGCAGTTGGAAGAAACGGCAGATAAGGAGTGAAATTTCGAAATTACACACGCTATCTTGAAAGAACCCATTAATGAGAAAAATTGCTCTCATTTGGGTGGAAAAATGGCTTAATTCATTACTAATTTAATGAGTACCTGTACCCATTAATGAGTTGTGCCACTTTTCTTAAAAATGGGTGCAATTTTACTCATTAATGGGTACATTAAAGTTAGCGTGCACACCGTCTGTTGATGCACGGATGCACCATTGCACCATGCACTTTGACCATTGAGAAGAAGAAGAAAAATGTCCACTGTAAGGGCACCACGCACCGCGGTGCAAGGTCTACCTGTATGGTTGCGATCCGACCTGACGACGAAGTTGATGGACATCCACGACAACGCCGGGGCAACGGGTGCAACAGGTTTGTCACGGCTGAAAGTCCTTGGAGAGAGCAGAAAGCTTTTTCTCGCACGCATGAATCAGTGAAATTGTTTCGGGCTAGAATGCTCGCGTCACCGCATGATTTTAGCACCTACACCGGCACCCGGCCAAGGAAATGCTGCACATTATCTGATCGCTGTTCAAGAAGATGAATGCATTGCACTGTCTCGCAGATGAGACATTGACGGGTCAAGTTCGCTGCCGGATGGCTAATTGAAGTCTTTCATAGGGCGATATGATGTAGCGATAGAGTGAATTTTCTTACCGCATTTGTTTGTGTGCAGTTTATTGTTGGCCGGTGATTTACTTTTGGAGGACATCGTTTATGGACATCTCGGTAATAAACTATGCCCTCTGGAGATAATTGTCGCAAACAAGTGCGGTGCTTTTCCGTCCCTTCGGAGGGGTTACGATCACTAGACACGTTGCTCGATGAATAGATTATCTGCATGGTTGATTTTCTCAACAGATGTCGCTAGTAAAAAAGAAGCTACGACGATTTATTTTGTATGCAGAAAACCGAAAAATTTCGCTTTTAATGATATTGTACAAGTGGTTATTTTTACCGAACTAACCTACCAAATTATTTGTTTAAAAAATTGTTCAAATCTCCATGCATTTTATATTTTAATAACTTTTTGTCCATAAGAACGTGGCGCCATGCTGTCAGCAGTGATGAGGATCAAATTGACAGCATGCATTAATCCGTTGTTCTTTCGACGAAGATTTTCTTTCAAATTGCAGGGAAGAGCCTTTTCCAACATGGACAAGCATGGCCCCATAGGTGAAATGACTTACATCACTTAATTTAAGGGTGCTGATTTTCAATATAAAAACAGTTTTTCAGGTAAATAATCATTATATTGAGCTATTGAGTAAGAGCATGAACGGTTCTCAGTCGCTATTCCGCGAATCACCAGATCCAGTGATATTTGCTCAAATAACAAATTAGATCAGAGTTGTTTGGAAATGCTATCTAAAATGAAGCTTTAGTGTGATAGTTTATTAGCTAGAGAATGATCTTAGGAGAGGGTAGGTGGATAGTTCCGTTAGAGTACGGCAATATGAAAATTGAACAGAAGTTGAAAATGAGCGAAGAGCCATTGATGCGACAGTACAAAGTCAAACGCACACCTTTTGCCTAACCCGTTCGATGTACGTGGAGATTTGAAGTATGTCTTCAAATCTACAGGCAAAAAGTGTACGCCCTCCTTTGCTTATTACTGTCTGCGGCTGTGGAATAGTTCACTACCTAAAGCCCCACGTTTCCGAAAGCATGGAAGCATTGTCTTTGTATTGTCGCATTAATGGCCCTTCGCTCATTTTCAACTTCTATTCAATTGTCATACTGACGTACTCTAACGAAAATATCCACCTACCCTCTTCAAAGATCATTATCTAGCTAATAAATTATCACACTAAAGCTTCATGTTACATAGCATTTCCAACCAACTCTGAAAATCACAAACTTCGCGTATGAAGAACATAAAAACACTTTGAATTTTTTTTTTTCCTTTGGTTTGTTTTTTCCGTCGATCTTCTTTCTTCCGTGCTGAGCACCAATGCTACCGACGTGGCAGGAAGGCAGCTCCCACACCTGGACCCTACCTATCGACCCATCAACTCATGAACCGGGAACCAACGGCTTTACTTCCCATCCGAAGGAAGGCGGGCGTGATCAGAGATGTTATGCCTCAGAACATCCCGGCGGCGCCGACTGGAATTGAACCCAGGCCTGCTGGGGTGAGAGGTAATCACGCTTACCACTACACCACCGGCGCCGTTAATAACACTTTGAATGTAAAAAGCCTTGGCAGTCCATTCTCCGTTGACAAATTTCGGAGAGCAAATCCAGGCCAAAAATAAATGATAGCGTGAAAGCAGTTCTGCTAATGGAAATGATCTCTGAGATAAAGTTGTAGGAAACTGAATTTCCATTTTGACATAACATAGAGCTACCAAATTGATATGGTGTCCAAGGCAAACATAAATTCAACTTGTAGGGTAACTACTTTGTTGTAAACATGCATTTTAGGCTTAAAACCAGCGGACTGGCAACCCCATATCAATCCTATGCGTTTGACAGTAGGCAAGATCACGGGCCTTATTTAAATACGGCCCGCCTGACGTATACATGAAGGAAAGGGACGCAAAATCGTGTTGTAAGCAGAATGACAAGATCAGATGAAAGCATGAAAAACATGGCCGCCAGACAGGCCTCTGCTTAAAACGAAGGAAATGCATCTTGCCCCTACATGAACATCAATCTGTCAAAGTATTTCAACAGTTTCCAAACGACCAGAGAGGCTAGTCAAAGTATTTCATAAAATGCTCAGTATTCTTCATCTAGAAATTTCCTGCCCTTCCTCAATACTAGGAGACTTTAGGTACTTGACTTGGTGGCCAAGCAACGAATATTAACGAGATTTGAAATAAAGTACTTGTCTTGCTCCAAACAAAGCAGGACTGCATTACCGTGGGGAACTGAATTCCGTACAGGGTCGAAATCCATACAACCTCACACAAGGCGTTTTGTGTGAAAAGTACGAATTTTTATTAATTTTTAGATGTACGGATTTCGGTCCCCCGCGATATATTATCTAAAGTCTCATAATGTGTGTTTCGATGGTGGATAAAGCATTGAGACTCACTTCGAGATTTTCTGGGAAGCGAGTAATACTGAAGAGTAAATAAGTTTATTGAGCTACCCACTAGCAATCACGTATGTTGTTAGATACGCTTGCGATGAGTAGATGAAAAGAAAAGTGATGAAGATTCTGAAAACTTCCTAAAAATGATGGAATGTGATGCGAGAAAATGAGTTTAGATGCATGAAATTAAAAAAACCGATTCCAACCTGAAATAATTTTGTGTTTCTTATCTTTTCTTATCTCATACATTATTGAAGGGGGCGAGGTCTTAATAAGTTCCCCCTCGCCCCCTAACTCATAACAATAAAAGTCATGTTTGAAACTGAAATAACTCCGGTGTTTCTTATCTTATCGATTTTGTATGTTCAGATGAATTATTCAAAAACAATTTCCAAATCTCATAAGCGTAGTAAGAGGGGGCTTAATATAGGCAGTTTTTTAATCGAAAATTGTTGTAGTGTAAATATTTAATACCTTTTGTCCGTACAGTTGTTAGTGTGGTGATGTTGTTTGGAAGATTTTAAATTTCAATATAAAGCATTAATTTCAAACTTTAAACTGCCATTAGGGCCACCTCAATATAGAAAACACAGAAGTAGTCCTACGTCAAAAAACAAAATCAGGAGCAGTGTTGGCAAAATCATCAATCAAATTATATTTTTCCGCTCTCATACGCTCTCAATATAACGCGTGATATTGGAACAACATATCATGCTTGATATTGATTTTACAAGCTCCTTTGATATTGCGAGACTATTCACAACGTGCAAAAATCAAGCGGAGTATTGACTAGACACAAAAATGATTCCGTTGCACATCGTTTTCTTAGAAAGAGAAAGTATAGTTTGCTATCTCTTTTTACTGTTCACCGTCACAGACACGAAGCGACTGCTGCCAGCCGTTATGGAAGTTTCGGTTGCGTTCGGGTGTAAAGCTGGGTTTAGATAGGGCAAGTCAATTGATCAAGTCAGTTGAATTCAACTGACTTGAACGCGAATTGAATGTGTAAACCATTCCATTCAACTGACTTGATCAACTCACTTGAATTGAAAAAAGTTGAATCAGGCTCAACTTTTCAAGCCAATTTAATTCAATTGACTTGATCAATTGACTTGCCTAGTCTAAACCCAGCTTAAATCAAAAATCATTAACTCAATCTCACCACAGTTTGGTGAGATTTGCAGCAGGTGAGTTTTGTTAGCTTGATATTCAGAGCTGCGATATCACAGCTTGCCAAATCAACCGCAGCTGTATGCTTGTTGATATTTGTCTACGAAAATCAAGCGTGATCTTGGGCATTGGTGAGATTTGATTTTTTGATATTTTCCCAACACTGATCAGGAGAAAAAGAAAACTGTCTTTACGAGTTTCGTCTCAGCCCAAGTAAAAAAATTGGTTTTATGGGGGTTCTGTAGACCATGATTTAGACTTGTAGGATGCTTTAAAACCACTATAAAACTTGCAATGTTACTCGGAAGGAACAGTTAGATTTCGCTCGTTGGGCTATCTTTAAGTGGGCTACATTTTAGATGTGCTGTACTGCCACTCATGGCTAGCCCGTCCCATAGCACAAATCAGCAAGTCGATAACCCATTTTGCTGTTTTTCCAAACTTTTCCGGAACGAAGTTGTTGAGTTCTAAGATGAAGGACAATCTTAGCTTTGAAATGAAACTGGTTTTATGAAAAAAAACGATTGACATTTCACTTATTAATCGACTATAACCCAATTTTAAGCACTAAAATATAGAGTAAAATTCCTTATGTTTGCATCAAAAATAAAAATAAATTATTCGTGCCGTGCACAACCACCTTGGCATTCAAATTCTAGTCAAAAAAAACTAGATTTTAATGTATAAATATCCCATCATATCCAGCGGCATTTTGAGATATTGAAGTAAATGCCTTTTTTTTTGAAAAAGATTCCCATTGTGCACTGGTTAGGATTGATAGGGAAATATTTTGACATTGTAGCTAAATATGGCCGGTAAATGTCGCTTTCGATGAAAGTCAATTGAAGAGCTTTGTTGCCAAGCGGAGGGGTGGGGAATATTTGAGTCCTGCCTCATTTTTCAAAATGATGGCTTTGGTTTATTTTAATAAATCGTGGCATAAAACCGTTTCTGCATATGTATTTATATGCACTCTAAGACAAATTTGTTGGAAAATAGATGACTTTCTCCGGAAAATAATACACAGGGTAACAAATAACCAACATACTTTTCTTCCAGGTGGCTTCTTTTCTCCGAAATATGTGTCTTAAATGATGATCATTTGAAAACCATTGGCCCATAACTTTCATTGGATTTTAAAGGATTTCACCAATGGCAA